ACCGAATGTAACCTTAGATGCGCGCACACTGGCTGGCTTGTAAACACTGGCACACACGGGGCAGTTCAGGCCACACGTGGACACGTCTCGTACGAATCATATCGAATAGCGGGTTTTCGATTGAATGTCGAGGCGAAATTTTTGCGTTAAAATGCATCGAATGTCGGATTTATTGAATGTCGGGGGTCCACTGTATTTATTGTTCAATAACACTAAATGTCAAGCTTTTTTAAACACATGTTCACTCACTGAACACTGAAAGTTGTTACTGATAACTGTTCTTTCACCAAGTACATTTTATGCACAATGTATACACATTGTTTACTGTATTAGAAATGTTGGAACTCATGGAAGTCCTCGAAGCAGGGTTCACTGCAGAGTGGTATTTTAAAGGTTTTACACACACTCGTACATCTGGTGTCCCGGTGCTTCATTGTGTTAGCGCACACACAACATACCTGGGCATGTTTCTTTATGTCAGTGGCAAGAATTGCTGTAAAAAAGCATTTACTTAGTCCCATATAAGTGGGAACTTAGCTGCCTGTGCACTGATGCTGTGGTGTAAGAGGTGTAACCTGGTATTTACCAATGATTTGGTTGATGCCAGCCAAAGTAAAGTTCTTGTAGGTTGGTCTCTTACCAGTCTTTTCCTGGTACATATTATGTCTTGAGAATGTCAATATCCACATGGTGAAAAAACAGTTTGATGTACTACTTGAAACTCTTATGCACAGTAAACAAAACCAATCTGCATGCCACATCTGTTGTACTCAATCACAGCAACTGGCTTCATTTGTGTACAGTCTGTCTTGCCAGTACATTGCATTTCATTGGGGTGAAGAGTAGTCAATATGGTCACATCCCAATTATCATAAAACAGAAATACCATGATGCTGTCGACAATGAAAGTTTGCACTTGATTTTCCCCATTAAGTATATTGAATTTGGACATATGCTTCTTGAGCCCTCAATCCTCAAGGTAGCGGTTGGAGGTGGCACCACTGGTGGAGAAAATTCACTGAAGGAAGTAGGTCATGCCAATAGGTTAACCAAGTGTTGAAAAAACTCTCTTATCAAGATCCCAAGATGTTGCTGCATCAGACAGGTTAATATTAATATATAAATGGTTAGTTCTTGTTCTTCTTAACTTCCTCTGTTCTCCATGGAGAAGTAGAAAAGAATCTTTCCTCTGTACACCATGTGCGTCATAGGAGGCGACTAAAATGCTGGTCCAATGGGCTAGTAACACCTTCTCCTGTATAAACTACTAAAAAAGAGAAGAAGAAAAACTTTACAAAACTGAGATGTTTGGATGTGCATGGATGTAGTACAGATGATAAGAAAGAGATGATTGCTAATGTTATGAATGAAAAGAAGCTGGATGTCCTAGCTCTAGGCAAAACAAAGCTGAAGGGGGTTGGGGAGTTTCAGCAGGGAGAAATAGATGGGATTAAGTCAGAAGTATCTGAGAGTTAGAACCAAGGAACAGGTAGCAATAATGTTGAAGGATCAGTTATGGAAGGAGAAGAGGGAATATAAATGTATAAATTCAAGGATTATGTGGATTAAAATAAGGGTTGGATGCAAAAAAAGTGGGTTAAAGTAAGTGCGTATGCACCTGGAGAAGAGAGGAGTGTAGAGGAGAGAGAGAGATTCTGGGAGATGTTAAGCGAGTGTGTAGGAACTTTTGACCCAAGTGAGCGAGTAATTCTGGTAGGGGACCTAAATGTTTAAGTAGGAGAAATATTTAGAGAGGGTGTGGCAGGTAAGTTTGGGGGGCCAGGTATAAATGATAATGGGGCTTTGACTGAACCTTGTATAGAAAGGGGTTTGGTTATAGGTAGTACTTATTTTAAGAGACAAAAATGATAAATAAGTATACAAGATATGATATAGGGCATAATGATAGTTTGTTCGACTATGTACTGGTAGATAAAAGACTGTTGGCTCGAGTTCAGTATGTACATGTTTATAGAGGGGCCACAGATATATCAAATCACTTTTTAGTTTTAACCCCTTAACTGTCGCAACCCCCAATCCTGAGGTGTCTCCTGTGTTGCAAAATTTTATAAAAAAAAAAAAAAATTTCTTATGAAATGATAGAGAATCTTTTCCCGATTGTAATGACACCAAAAAATGAAATTTGATGACGAAATTACGCTCTCGCGAAGTTAGCAACCTTGGTGATATTTACAAATCAGTGATTTCGCCCACTTTGAGCCCTATTTTCGGCTAATTCCATTGTTCCAGTCGACCAAACTCATAGCTATTTCTTTAGAACTCCATTTTTTTCTGTCAATTGAGTACAAGAAACTGCCCATTTACCGATTTCAACTACCCAATAACGTGGTCAGAAATTTGCAATTTGGCCAATTTCATGAAAATTAAAAATCATGACAATTTCAAAATAAGGTCCAGAATGAACAATGCAGACATTCCTGGCTCTAAAATAACATTTTCTTTGTTCATCAGTCATGTCTCCAGGCCCCTCTGATATTACACTTGCTTTCTATTTTGAATTTTTATTCAAACAAAAAAATAGAAGATTTACTGTTATGCCGACTACTACAATACTGTAATAACTGTACAAATAATGTCAACCCATTCATGACTGCATATTAGAATGGCTAGTTGGACATTTATTGGACAATTACATCATTTGTTTACTTTTGAACATTGGCAAAAATCAAACATTTCCCCTACTTTGAGCTCCATTTCCAGGTTCTTTTTATAGTAAAACCATCAAAATCACCTCTATTTCTATAATATGTTTTCCATTCTATCAAATGAGACCAAGAAAACGAGAATACAACCATAAATAATATACGAAAACAGACCACAAAGTCTGCATTTTAATTAAAAAAAAAGGTCGGAATTTTTTTTTCCTCATTATGCACTGCATGCTCCATGATTTTTTTTATATGGTGCACACTGACCACACAGACCCATTCTCTCACATGTGGGCCTACCAGCTTTCTCCTGCTTGATTTGAAGCCGCTAGAATTTATGAGTATATATACGTCAAACATGGTACCTCGTAAGACGTATATATATGACCGAAACAGTCAAAGGGTTAAAGGGTAGATGGGATACAAGGAGAATAGAAGCAGCATGTAAAAGAGAGGTGAAGGTTCATAAACTTGAGGAGGAGGCAGTCAGGGTATGATATAAACAAATATTGGAGGATAGATGGGCTAGTGAAAGTATAGGAAATGGGGCTGAAGATGTATGGGGTAGGTTTAAGAATGTAGTGTTCGAGTGTTCATCAGAGGTTTGTGGAAAAGATAAAGATTTTACTTCTTTGTAAAGGTTACAATGTGTAATTACAATTTTGGTTAGCTAAGTACAAAGAAAGCCACAGTAATATTTTATGGATTGGCAGATGTGGGTGCAGGAAGGTGGGTGTGGGAGGGAAGAAGAGCGATTGGTAGAATGATGTAAAGAGAGTAATAAGAGAGAAAAAGTTAGCATATGGGAGGTTTTTTACAAAGTAGAAGTGATGCAAGGAGGGAGGAGTATATAGAGAGAAAAGGTGAGGTTAAGAGAGTGGTGAAAGAATGTAAAATAAGAGCAAATGATAGAGAGGGTGAGATGTTATCAAAAAATTTTGTTGAAAATATGAAAAAAGTTTTGGAGTGAGATTAATAAGTTGAGAAAGCCTAGGGAATGAATGGATTTGATAGTTAAAAACAGGAGAGGAGAATTATTAAATGGAGAGTTAGAGGTATTGGGAAGATGGACTGAATATTTTGAGGAATTATTAAATGTTGATTAAGTTAGGGAAACTGTGATTTTGTGTATAGGGAAAGGAGGAATAACATCTCATAGGAGTCAGGAAGAGCCATTTGTTAAATGAATGTCAGATTGAGTGACACTAGGCTTATACACTGTAGCATGTGTAACCTGTAAGGGAAAAGTCTCTAAGAGGCTTCATTCTTTTTCTTCTGGTTCCTCTGGTAGTGCAGTAGTGCTACCTTTTACCAGGACTCTAGGATAAGGGACTGATTACTTCAATCTCCTCATATTTATCCAGTTCTTCTCTGTACTGGACCAATGAAGCCACTAGCTGGCAAAGTGTTTCCATGCTAAAGATACCTAAATGTTGCACAAGTGCCTCATTTATCATCTTGTCAATTTTCTAAACAATTTATATAATAAAGTGAAGTAATCTACCGGCAAGAACTCAGGCTTCTGTTTGTTTACCTTACCTACCAGTTCCATCTGTAGGCCTGGAGAGCCTTGTTCCTCACTTCTCTCTGAGCTCTCACTGTCCACTCCATAGGTTTGTCTGATTCCCCAGATGTGCGGGTGTTGTTAAATGGAGAGAGTTTAAGACTAATGAATGATGAAACTAGCATTTACTTGATTCTACACTCATCTTTTACTTCAGTCAAGCCCCACTACAAGGAACAGCCCCTGATAGCTTACTTCAGGACCTGTCAAGTGTGGCACTTGCTCTCAACACCAACAACCCTTTGTAAGCCAGGAGCTGCACCATCATCACTTGTTTGTACATCGACCAAGTCACTATCCTCACCTACCAGTTTGTTACTACCACCATCATAACCTCTTTCCCTTCCCTTTCTACAGGATTGTGCATCACTCCATGGCCATATACATCCACTGGTTTTAGTAGTACTGTACATACACATTACTATCCTGAGATTCCCATTATTTCTATATTACCTGATTATAAATTGCCTTTCTTATTGTTGGTGCTTAATATTCATGTTCATTACTTTTTCTCTGTAATAAAGTTGTGGTTATTTCATCGATATCTCTATTGTGTTTACCTTATGATATTATCTTTTTCATTTTTTTGAGCAGGGGAGGTGGACCCCCTTCCTTTCCCTGACATAGCCACAAGAAAAAAATACTGATGAAAGCTTGGATCTTCACCTTTCATTTTCGTGTGTGAAGTGATGTAATTTAGAAGCCTAAGAAATTGAAGGTCATACATAAACTTGAAATCTGAGAGTTTAGAGTGTAAAACAAATGTAAATGTTAGGTGATAGATATTTATTATTTTCATACAATATTACATGTGACCCTAAAACATAACTCATCAGTTCTCTGCTTACAATAATATACAATGCATAATATTAAAAATTAATGTTTTGTTTTACCTATAAAGTTCCCATATACTGTACAATGAATTCAGTTTAAGTTGTAATAAATGACTGTAAATGAATAAAGAAAGTTGGATAAGGGAGTTTGAACTGTGGTCCTGGGATTGACAGGTCCAAAGCTTTACCACTGAGCTACAGAGCTTCTAATAATGAGATTTAGAAACAGTACTTCTGTACATGTTTTCTGTAAGTGGCACCAACTGTAACCCTAGTGATTCTTCCCCACAGCCCAGGAGCTTTCACAGTAAATCTATCCTTATTGCCCTCAAAGCCACATACAGTCTATGAGTTCCTTGGGAAATGGAGTCTTATAAGATGAAAACCAGCACTGTTACTTGAAACATTTATACACAACTAGTTTAGAGGCTAACTCATTCCATCATCAGGCACTGTATAAAATCAAAGAAAATCAACTATAAGAATTAGATTTGAACAGTTTAAATCATTATTATGCCTTAACTGAGTTCATAGTTATTTATTATGACACACTGAGTTCACAGATGGCAGGAGGGCCCCGTTTACACAACAGGTTAGGTTCTGGGCTGCCGCTGTAAAGTGATGATCACTGTAAAGTGAATCACAGCCTTTTTCTTTATTTTCAAATGCATACAAAAGCCTGACAACATGTTTACATTATCATATACAGTGGAACCTCAAAAATCGAACCTAATCCATTCCAGGAGCTAGTTCTAAATTTGAAAAGTCTGAAATTCGAAGCAATATTTCCCATAAGAAATAATGGAAATACAATTAATCCATTCCAGAAACCCAAAAATATTCACGCAAAAAATACATTTTATAGAGATTAATTACAGTTTTACATACAATAAATACTATAGTTTTTAATTATGTATAGTAATACATATAAAAAAAACATTTTTACTTACCTTTATTGAAGATTGGTGATGGCATCTGGAGGATAGGGAGGAGGAGGAGAGAGGGAGTTGGGGTTAGTGTTTGAAAGGAGAATCCCCCTCCATGAGGACTTCAGGTAAAGCCCTCTCTGGGGTTACTTCCCTTCTCTGTCTTTTAATGCCACTAGGACCAGCTTGAGAGTCACTGGACCCCTGTCTCACAAAATAACTGTCCACAGTCCTCTGTTTCTGGTGCCTCTTTAACATTTCCCTAAAATGGGACATGGTCCTGTCACTGAACTTGTTGCAAAGATGGCTTGTTTCAGCTTGCTCAGGGTGGTACTTTTGCACAAACATTTGGACATCATTCCACTTGGCACAAATCTCCTTAATCTTTGAAGAAGGCACCTCATCCACTCCCTATATTAACACCTTTTACAACATCAGCTTCCTTGATTTGTTCTTTCTTTGACAGGATAGAACCGATGGTTGACTTGTTTTTCCCATACATCCTGGCAAGCTCAACAAGTCTCACACCACTCTCATACTTTTGTATTATTTTCTTCTTCACATCTATGGTGTTTCTCACTTTCTTTACCACAGGGGTACCACTAGCAAGTTTCTTTGGGCCCATGGCAGCTTATTTCACAGTCCCACAAGCACCAAACACAATGAAATAATCGTAAAATGCGTGAATGAGAGCGCAGGTTAGTGTTCACTCAAGCATAAACAAAGCTAGACTGCTCACGGCGCCTGCGCGGGGACGCGGACAGAGCGGCCCGGCACAGGTCCTGTACCCGGTGGTTCGAAAATAGGGGCGCGTTCGATAATAGGGACACAGTTTGTCCAAAAAAATGGTCCTATTTTTGAAACGTTCGGTATGTGATACGTTCGATTTTTGAGGTTCCACTGTATTAAGTGAGCGATATAGCTAGGCCTAAAAAATGCATGTACAATACACACACTACTTAAAATATTTTCATCCTTAGTTTACACTGAGTGGTGAATATATTTAATGTAGAAAGTCTGAATAAATGAAGAATGGGTAAAATTGAAAACCACTGTATTAGCAAAATGCTGTAAAGTGGGGCCTGCCTGTATATGGGGAGGGGGGGGGACGAATGTACTGCAAAAGCTCCTGGGCTGTGAGAAGTCAGTCAAGTTACAGCCGGTGCTGGCAATGGAAACCATGTACAAAATTACTGTTTCCGAATGCTCTGTAGCTCAGCGGTAGTGTTGGACCTGATAATCCCAGGACCATGGTTCAAGCCTCCTGTCCATCTTACTGGACATTTTTTTTTTAATAGGAATAAATTCACATACATACATACAATAATGTACAAAAAAAAAAGTCACTGGAATGCAGATGAATCATGTAGGTTTAGTGCATTCTGTGAATATACTTTGATAATATTCATTTGAATAAGTGTAATTTTAATCAGCATCGGAACAATTAACCTCGTCATCATCACCACCTATTGCTCTCCAAAATGCAACAGCTACTTTTTCAGCATAGTCTCTTCGCTGGTCTGGGGGAAGTGTAGCTGCTGTTCTCTTTAGATGCTCAAAATTGGAGAACAGACTTTCAAAATCACCATCTTCTCCATCAAGACACTCTTCTAAATGGGTTGGAACTACTAAACTATCTGTAAATTATAAAAATATTTATTTGTATTACCCGGTACATTATACTCACTAGAGCTTAATTGTTATGTTTACAATAATGTTTAGGAATGCTTAGTTAATCTTAAGTTAATTTTAAGTCTGCCCATAATGCTCTGCATACAAGGGGCTTTGGCATGCTGCACTTAATTGTATTCTTTTGTAATTTTCTGTATCATGTTCAAATAAATAAATATGTAGTCTTTATCTCTCTCTCTCACACACACACACAAACAAACACACAAACATAGGAGCTTGGACTCGACCCCTGGAACCTCAACTAGGTGAGTACCACACACACACACACACACACACACACACACACCACACACACTCTCTCTCTCTCCCCCTAGCCTCTCTCTCCCCTCTCACTCTTCCATCTCCCCCCTCTTTCCCCCCTCTCTCTCCCCCTCTCTTTGCCTTCTCTCTCCCCTCTCGCTCTTCCATCTCCCCCCTCTTTCCCCCTTCTCTCCCCCTCTCTCTCCCCCTCTCTTTGCCTTCTCTCTCTCTCTCCCCCCCCCTTCTCTCTCTCTCTCTCTCTTGCTCTCTCTCTTCCCCTTTTTCCCTTCTCAATCTCCCCCTCTCCTACCCTTCCCTTCACTCTCTCCCCCCCCTCTCTCTCACTCTCACTCTCTCTTCCCCTTTTTCCTTCTCACTATCCCCCTCTCTCTTTCTACCTTCCCTTCTCCTCTCTCTCTCTCTCTCTCTCTCTCTCTCTCTCTCTCTCTCTCTCATCTCTTCCCCATTTTTCCCTTCTCATTCTCCCCCCCTCCTTCCCTTCCCTTCTCTCTCTTTCCCCCTCTCACACTCTCCCCCTTTTCCTTCTCACTCTTCCCCTCTCTCTCTCCTTCTACCTTTCCCTTCTCTCTTCTCTCACAAAAAAAAAAAAAAAAAAAAAAAAAAAAAAAAAAATGGTGGGGACTCGCAGGAACCAAGGATCAGATGAGAATGGTTCTGGTAGGGAGGAGTGGATGGAGGAGCAGTGGAAAAGGATGGAACAAGAGTGGGAGAGAAAATTAGGAGAGCTTTCTCAAAAAATGGAGAAAGAGCTCTCTGTGAATTGGAAAAGAGGTCGGAGAAGGAGACAAAGAATTGGGAGGCATAAGTCGAAACTGCAGTAGCCAAGATAAGGGTCCTAGAAGTTGAGATAAATAGGCTGAAGCAAGTTACAGGGGCAGTGACCAGAGAAGACACAGCATATGAAGCTGCGAGGCCAAACAGGAAGGAAGGAATTATGAATTATGCTAAGGTCATATCAACCTGCCAAAAAGAGCCAAGGAGTGGAAGGGAAGAACAGCTGGTTGCAGACGGAGAGGGTGATAGGTCGAATGCTGAGGCACAACCATGCTATCAAGAGCCACTGGAAAAATCAAGGGAGAAACTGACCACATACAGGCAGGATCCTGAGTCACAGAGGGTGAGGCAATGGGAGGAGGAAAGGGCAAAATCAGTGTTTATCCATGGGCTTCAGGAGAGAGAGGAAAGGACACACACTGAAAGGCAGCAGGAAGAAAGTAAGGAGATTGAGAAAATCATCACGGAAATAGGTGAAGAGATGGATGAGATTGTAAATTTTCAGAGAATAGGGGGGTACTCGAAGGGGAGAAACCGACCAATCAAGCTGATTCTCAGGACGGAAACAGTGCGGAACAGGATCCTCCAAGAGAAACCACGATTGAAATACTCGGAAGAGTACAAGAGGGTGTTCCTAGACAGAGACAGAACACAATCAGAACGACAGCAGCTGAGGGAGAGGACAAAAAAGCGAAAGGAGCTAGGAAAAGAGACAAGGATGGAACCAGCAGAGGTCAGTCAGAGCAGAACAGAACAGCAAGGGCAAGCACACACACAACTATTCTCAGAACCATACAACCTATCACACCATCCCAACACACACTACAATCCATACCCACAGCCTCCACCCAACACCGAGCTATAGAATCCCACAGTATGCCACCAGGTCTCCCACCCTCACAGGCCCCACAAACCACAGTGTTGGAAAGGAAACTGAAGGTATGGTACACAAACGCTGATGGTATAACAAATAAGTGGGAGGAGTGGCATGAAAGAGTCAAAGAGGCATCACCGGACATCATAGCTCTCACAGAAACCAAGCTTACAGGTATGATAACAGATGCCATCTTTCCAATGGGATACCAAATCCTGAGGAAAGACAGAGGGAACAGGGGGGGGTGGAGGAGTGGCATTGCTGATCAAAAATCGCTGGAATTTTGATGAGCTGGAGAGAGGAGACAGCGGAGAAGAAAGTGATTACATAGCGGGAACGCTTCACTCTGGAGGTCCCAAGGTGGTAATAGCAGTGATGTATAACCCACCACAGAACAGCAGGAGGCCAAGGCAAGAGTACAACGAGAGCAATAGAGCGATGGTTGACACACTGGCTAGAGTGGCCAGAAGAGCTCATGCATGCAGGGCAAAGCTCCTGATCATGGGTGACTTTAACCACAAGGAGATCGACTGGGAGAACTTGGACCCGCATGGGGGCCAAGATACATGGAGGGCTAAGATGATGGAGGTGGCACTGGAAAACTTCATGTACCAACACGTAAGGGACACTACAAGAGAGAGAGGAGAGGATGAACCAGCAAGGCTAGACTTAGTATTCACCTTGAGTAGTGCAGATATCGAGGACATCACATATGAAAGACCCCTTGGGGCCAGTGACCATGTGGTTTTAAGCTTCAAATACACAGTAGAGCTACAAGTGGAGGGAGAAACAGGAAGGCCAGGACGAATGAAGCCAAACTACAAGAAAGGGGACTACACAGGAATGAGGAACTTCCTGAACGGGGTTCAGTGGACAGAGAACTGGCAGGGAAGCCAGTTAATGAGATGATGGAATATGTAGCAACAAAATGCAAGGAGGCTGAGGAGAGGTTTGTACCCAAGGGTAACAGGAATAATGAAAAATCCAGGATGAGCCATGGTTTACCCAAAGGTGCAGGGAGGCAAAAACCAAGTGTGCTAGGGAATGGAAGAAATAAGAAGGCAAAGGACCCAGGAGAATAAGGAGAGCAGTCGTAGAGCCAGAAACGAATATGCACAGATAAGAAGGGAGGCCCAAAGACAATATGAAATGAAATAGCAGCGAAAGCCAAATCTGACCCAAACTGTTGTACAGCCACATCAGGAGGAAAACAACAGTCAAGGACCAGGTAATCAGGCTAAGGAAGGAAGGAGGAGAGACAACAAGAAATGACCGTGAAGTATGTGAGGAACTCAACAAGAGATTCAAAGAAGTGTTCACAGAGGAGACAGAAGGGGCTCCAGAAAGACGGAGAGGTGGGGCACACCACCATGTGCTGGACACAGTGCACACAACCGAGGAAGAAGTGAAGAGGCTTCTGAGTGAGCTAGATACCTCAAAGGCAATGGGGCCAGATAACATCTCCCCATGGGTATTGAGAGAGGGAGCAGAGGCACTATGTGTACCCCTAACAACAATATTCAATACATCTATCGAAACAGGGAGATTGCCTGAGGCATGGAAGACAGCAAATGTAGTCCCAATCTTTAAAAAAGGAGACAGACATGAAGCATTAAACTACAGACCAGTGTCACTGACATGTATAGTATGCAAAATCATGGAGAAGATTATCAGGAGAAGAGTGGTGGAACACCTAGAAAGGAATGATCTCATCAACAGCAGCCAACATGGTTTCAGGGACGGGAAATCCTGTGTCACAAACCTACTGGAGTTCTATGACATGGTGAAAGCAATAAGACAAGAGAGAGAGGGGTGGGTGGATTGCATATTCTTGGACTGCAAGAAGGCGTTTGACACAGTTCCACACAAGAGATTGGTGCAAAAACTGGAGGACCAAGCAGGGATAACAGGGAAGGCACTACAATGGATCAGGGAATACTTGTCAGGAAGACAGCAGCGAGTCATGGTATGTGGCGAGGTGTCAGAGTGGGCACCTGTGACCAGCGGGGTCCCACAGGGGTCAGTCCTAGGACCAGTGCTGTTTCTGGTATTTGTGAACGACATGACGGAAGGAATAGACTCTGAGGTGTCCCTGTTTGCAGATGACGTGAAGTTGATGAGAAGAATTCACTCGATCGAAGACCAGGCAGAACTACAAAGGGATCTGGACAGGCTGCAGACCTGGTCCAGCAATTGGCTCCTGGAGTTCAATCCCACCAAGTGCAAAGTCATGAAGATTGGGGAAGGGCAAAGAAGACCGCAGACAGAGTACAGTCTAGGAGGCCAGAGACTACAAACCTCACTCAAGGAAAAAGATCATGGGGTGAGTATAACACCAGGCACATCTCCTGAAGTGCACATCAATCAAATAACTGCTGCAGCATATGGGCGCCTAGCAAACCTCAGAACAGCATTCCAACATCTTAATAAGGAATCATTCAGGACCCTGTACACCGTGTACGTTAGGCCCATATTGGAGTATGCGGCACCAGTTTGGAACCCACACCTAGCCAAGCACGTAAAGAAACTAGAGAAAGTGCAAAGGTTTGCAACAAGACTAGTCCCAGAGCTAAGAGGTATGTCCTACGAGGAGAGGCTAAGGGAAATCAACCTGACGACACTGGAGGACAGGAGAGATAGGGGGGACATAATAACGACATACAAAATACTGAGAGGAATTGACAAGGTGGACAAAGACACGATGTTCCAGAGATTGGACACAGTAACAAGGGGACACAGTTGGAAGTTGAAGACACAGATGAATCACAGGGATGTTAGGAAGTATTTCTTCAGCCACAGAGTAGTCAGTAAGTGGAATAGTTTGGGAAGTGATGTAGTGGAGGCAGGATCCATACATAGCTTTAAGCAGAGGTATGATAAAGCTCACGGTTCAGAGAGAGTGACCTAGTAGCGATCAGTGAAGAGGCGCGGCCAGGATCTCGGACTCGACCCCCGCAACCTCAACTAGGTGAGTACACACACACACACACACACACACACACACACACCAACCACACAGACACAGACACACACACA